TTTGCCATGGCAAGGGGGGACTAGGGCAGCTACTATTCACATGAATAGTAGTTGCCCTTGCAAATAGTATTTTTGTTATACCTAGAATAGGAGTTTTGAGCCTAGACGTTGAGTTTTTCTGGCGAGGCGTTATCGCTTTAGGCACCACGCGCTGCCAACGCTTGTGGCGGTGCGTGGGCAGCAGGGTGGGGACTACTGTCAGTCCTAGAATGATCTCTTAGTTCTCACGAGCACGTAGGATTTTACGGATCTTAATTCGGATATCGTTTGAATCCCTATTGTGCGATTTCTGGGTTCAATACGTTTGAACCGTTGGATCGTAGTTAATTCCAAGTATGTTAATCTAGACTTTCCCAGGATCATATAGTATTTGACGGATTGTAAAACGAAGTCCCGGTTACTCCAGAAATATCAGCCTTAGAGCGAGTTTAACAGATAAATAAACCAGTTACAGATCAATAAACCAGTTACAGATAAACAAACCAGTTACAGATCAGGAACAAAGAAAAGAACTACGTGTGGCTTGATCCCTCAGTAAGGATACGTAGGTAGCCTACAGTTATCAGGCGCAGTCACGAGTTAGGAGCTCAGGGTTTATGTTACTGTTTCTTGGGCATTTTGGTCATTTACAACCCACAGTTACCAGATGTCAGTTTTAACCAGGTTTCGACCCGCATTCCAAAGTTGAAATTGGGTCAGGTCGTTTCATATGAATTTTATAATAAATATTGACACATACGAACCCAAAAATCTTATTTGAAAATTTTATCCAAATTAATTGTTTAGGTAAACAAATTTGTGAAAAAAAAACAAAAAAAAATTTAATAGTATTTGCCCTTTGCCATGGCAAGGGGGGACTAGGGCAGCTACTATTCACATGAATAGTAGTTGCCCTTGCAAATAGTATTTTGTGTTTCCATCCGTTGCCATGGCTAAGGGTAATTACTATTCATTTTTTTGTTTTTTTCACAAATTTTTTTACCTCAATAATTAATTTGGATAATATTTTTAGATAAGATTTCCGGGTTCCTACGTGTCAAGACTATTCATAATTAGATAAAATTTCCAGATAAGATTTTTGAGTTCAAATTTCGGATGAATTTCAAAATTCAAAAGGTATTTTAATTATTACATAAAGAAATCCAATACAAGTCATTAAAAATTACTACTACTAAAATAAAATACATGAATTACAACAACTTTAATAGAAAACATGAAAAATACAAATACATAAAAGGTATGCCAACTAATTTAATGGTTTTCATCATTTAACCAATCTGTGTTGCTAGGCTCATCTTGGAAAAGTCTTCTTCGCATAATATCCCTTCGTTCTAGCTTCCAAAATTGTTTTGTTTTCGGGGACATATGGCTTGTATCCATCGCCATGGTTTCCCGATCTCGTCATGGTTTCCCAATCCGTCTTGTACTCATCTTTTTTGCGCAAATACTCCCTTTCTCATGCATACTCGGCTTGAATCTTCATCTCGTTACCTTGGCGTTTCTGCTCCATTTCAATTCTTATGGTGTTCTGCCTTGCAATTTCATCCAAAAACTTTGAATTATTATTGCTCGAATTACCTGCTTTCTTTGCCTTCGTAGCCTTTCGGCCAATAGGCCTCGGCTCCTTTTCGATGGGTGAGTCTTGACTCATAGGGGAATCGATAGGTGAATCCGATATCATTGAATCACGAAGTGGCATCTCGTTTAACATAACCTCGGGACCCGTGGGAATAATTATGAAGCGTTTGCAATATTTCACCACCTCCCAACATTCATGATGGTTGAAACTTTTTTTGCCACCCCCGATTGCACCGAACCACATCTGTGCTTGAATAATCTATTTAACAAAAAAATGGAAATGTAAGAAATATTTAAAATGTATTGGATATGCAAGTAACAAAAAAATAAATAATGGAAATGCAATTAACCTTACAAATAAATTGGAAGTGCAAGAAATATTAAGAAACAATTGGAAATGCAAGAAATATTAACAAAATATTTAAAATGCAATAAATATTAACAAATATTGAAAATGCAATAAATATTAACAAAATATTTAAAATTCAATAAATATTAACAAATATTGAAAATGCAATAAATATTAACAAAATATTTAAAATTCAATAAATATTAACAAATATTGAAAATGCAATAAATATTAACAAAATATTTAAAATTCAATAAATATTAACAAATATTGAAAATGCAATAAATATTAACAAAATATTTAAAATTCAATAAATATTAACAAATATTGAAAATGCAATAAATATTAACAAAATATATATATTAGGACATTAAACTTAATAAAACGAAAATTTCAAAATACTTACCTCGTTAGTACGATTTTCCCCGCTTCTATAGTTGTGCATCGCTTTTGACAAGACATCTCTCCATTTTCCCAACACTTTATTGAGAATTTTAAACTTACTAGACAATGTCATTTCCGTACGAGTCGACCCCGGAATTTTTTCACAAAATTCAGCATGAAGTTTTTTCCACATATGAAAAAATTTCATCTCATTGCCTGACATGGGACAATGACAAATTTGGAGCCAAGCCTCACACAAGGAAACATCTTCCATGGTGCTCCATGCCCCTCCGGTTTCGATAGAAGAAGCCATAAAAATAAGAAATAAAAATACAATGTGAAAGAGAGAAAAATGTTGAGTAAAGAGTGAATAATAGTAGAAGTAGAATAAAATGTATGAGGATTGGTATTGAAAGTGAAGGGTATTGATAGGTATTTATAGAAGAAAAAAATCATAATTTTTTAGTTTTTTTTTTTTCATAATTTTACTATCAAAAATATGTCAGCCATTGGATTGGATTCGGAGAAGCAGATCGGAGCGCTGGGGGCGTGACACGTGGCTTCTACCCGTTGGAGACTGCTCAGTGCTAACGTCAGTGCACGATGGTTTAAATTTTTTTTACCGTTGGCGCGTGCATTACACACGCCAACAGTAAAAAAAAATTAAACCGGGTGATGACGTCGCACATGACGTCAAAACACGCGAGCTCGACCTCGAGCTGAACTAGCCTTCGGGCCAGCCGGACTTCATGGGACCCATTCCCAGCCCGGGCTTGGGCTCACCGCTGGAACGACGTTCCCCCCCCCCCCCCCCCCCCCCCCCTGACCGGTGGAAATGCTCTTAGGTGTCAGACTTAGAACCATTGTGTCAGCTTGACTCCAGCTACTGCTTACCTTTGCAGATTAAATAGCCTCATGGAAAAACATAACTAAAGCTGCTAGGAAAGGAAGGACTGAAGTTGAGTAGCTCTAGGCTTGCTTTCTCCTTTGGGAAGAGATTGAAGTGTTCGGAGATTATAGTTTCAGCCTTATTGTTTCAAGTAAGCTATCTATTATGGTGTTTGTTTTGTTTGCTTCCATCTTTCTAAATCTCTTAGTTGCTTTGCTATTGAGTTGTTGTTCAGGATTAGATTACTTCTCCTGATATCACAACCTTGTATCAATGTCAATTCAGTTCTGTATGCCTCAATTTCATTGTTAAAGGAGCTCAGAATTGAACATTGAATAGCAGCTAAGTTTGCGGGTAATTCAGACCAACTGAATTACAGTGATCGTGCCTTCTTTTGAAGGAGTCAGGACCTCTAACCAGCTGGTAATAAGGCTCATGTGACCACCATGGGAATAAGAACAGAAGCTATTTCATTGTTATTGTTTCTCTGCATTCTACTATGAATCGTATTACAACACTTGAATTGTTTAGTTTCATTTGTGTATTCTCTTTAGTTTAGTTTTTAGATATTGTATTGTTCTAATCCTCACGCTCACTTGTGGCCATATATAGTTGCTTAGTGAGCTTTCTAGCTCACCCTTTTTCCCTTCCATTTCAGATTATAGAACTTTGGCTCTCTTGTGATGTTTTAGCTACCCTACAGAAGATACGATTGTTTTTGGAAAACTTTAGGCTTTAATGTTGTAGGTAACCTTGCAGATCCTGGTAGTTCTAATTGAGCAAGTTAATGAGTTTGACTTAATTGTCCGTTTTAGTGATTTTGGGCTGAACTCGGAGCATGACACCAAAACTTGACCATAAATTTAATTGTAACACTGGTTCATGAGTCCTTGTTTGTTCTCAAAAACTATTGGAAGTGAGGTAGCTAACAATAAAAAGTTAAATTGATTTTAAAATGTAACATAAATGGTCATGTATGGCAACTTTTACAAATTCATTTTGGTCACCAAAGACCTAAAATGGGAAAGAACTTGAGAAAAGATTTCTCATGTTTTCTGAGCTTTTCCTTAGCTGCAGTAACCCAAATGACCTTCAAAAAGTGGTCATGTGCAATGGGCCAACTTTTTAAATTTAAAAAAAAAACTGTCTAACTTTTGTAATTAAATGACACAATTACTATAGTTTGAAAATCAAACTGCGACGTTTTGAAGTTAATGGAACTGAGCTTTACAAAGAACAAAATTCAAGGGCAGACTTGAAATTCCATCTTCAGATCTCCCACATCTATGCATCCATAGGATCAATACTGATAAAAAGGTCGCCAAAACCCCTTTGTCTCATTTCCAATAGCAAAAGAAAATGGCACTGTATGAGAGAGAGAGAGAGATTGTAATAATAAATAAAACCCAATTGAAAACATCTCAGCTAAAGAGGTTAGGTGCCATGAAAACAAAACCCATGCCTCAATAATGCATTGACCACCTTGCCAATACCAACAACAACAGACAATCTTTACAGTATTATAAACTCTACTAGAGTCGCATCCATCTCTTTTGTCCTGCCAACAAACACTTATTAATCACTAAAACACAGCAATTCTGTGAAGATGTGGGGATGCATAAATACCTTAAGCACTACCACAACAGAATATTAACTGGTGGAAGAATTGGGCAGAGTCTGAAAGAACCACATTTCTCAGACACAAGTAAAAGACTTCACCTAGCTCAAGTATATCTGGATGGTCTCTCTCTAGTCTCTACCAATTCTAAGTTCCTACGGAAATCGGATACCTGCCTCGTTCGCATTTCGTAATCAAAAAATTAGCTCAAATCTTCACTACAAAACCATTGTTGCAGCCATTGCAATCCTTACAATCACCTTAAATTTTTGAGTGTTTTTCACTTGTTCATCTGTGATCCCATTTAAGATACAGTTAATTGGAGATTTGTCACATCATTTAGTAGCTAAAATTTGAAATCAACAACAAATCAAAGGCAGCCTTGCATTGCAAGCACATTAAACCAAGAATTCAAGAAATGGGTTTTATTAATTCAACTTATTATAAACAGAAACAGAGATTTACCATAAAGAAACTTGATAAATCTTTTATTACAAAAATTTATTACATATACAACAACAAATCACAAAAACTCTAAAATCTAAACAAATACAACAACAAATCAAAGAGATATACTAAAAGTAATACCTTATCATCATCATCACCACTGTCACAAGTCCACCAACATATCCTCCAAAAAATACCCATCAATGGAACCAAACCCTCCAAGCAACTCAGAAAATTCGACATCCTCATAAAAATTCGACCCCATTTCCCGTCCTTTAAACGACGTCGTATTCTCCTCCACCTCTTCCTCCTCATCCTCATCCTGATCCATAGCCGCCGCAGCCTTAACACTCTTCTCGTCCTCAACCGCCGGCATGTGCCCTTCAAACAAGGCCATGTGCCCAAACAGCTTGCTCTTCCTCGAGAAGCTCGTGCCGCACGTGCAGCGCCACCGCGCCTCGCCGCAGTGCTTCAGGTGGCTCTTCAAATCCGCCACGACCGAGAAGCTCTTCTTGTTGCAGCGATTGCACGAGTACATCTTCGGGCAGTGGCTTCGCTTGAAATGATTCTTCACGCAGATCACCGATTTCAGCGCCCGAAACTTCACGTGCCCCTTGTTCCGGTTGCACCCGATATAAGGGCACGAGAACCGGGTCTTCCGGCTCGGCTCGGCCGGGTTCTTGTCTGGTTTGGCCAAGGCCTCGGGCGTCTTGAACCTGTTCCCGTGGGCCCGCATGTGCATCCTCAAATTCGCGTCTCGCTTGAACCCCTTTCCGCAAATCTCGCAGTAGTGGATGTGCTCCGCCAGCAGCTCCATCGCGTCCACCTCCACGATCTCGCCCTCCGCATCGTCGTTTTGGAAATCGTTCTCTTCCTCTTTCTTGACCTCTGTAGCTGCTTCGTTGTTGGCGGCTGGTGTTCGGGTCGGGTCGGATGTGTCTCCCAGGTTCTGAGAGCAGGCCAACAAAGCGGCGCCGTTTGAGATGGTTTCGCGGATCGCAGAGGCGATTCCGGCTGAGACCATGTCCATCTGGTCCTTGCTGATCAGAGCGTTGGCGTTGATCGATTCGGTGAGGAAGCACTGCAGCGAATCCATTCTCGTTCGGACCATCGACAGATTCCGGAGCGGAACTTCCGGGTCCGGGTCTTCAACAGGAGGCGCGACGGAACACACCGCGGGGATGTTAAACAGTTGACCGGCAAACGACATCGTTTAGACGCAGATAGTTTCTTTTTGGTTAACACTCATGTCATGACTGAGTTTGGATTGGGATTGACTTGAAAATAGTAAAAGGCTGTGAATATATATGAGAGCGCACACGCCAAGGTGGGGCCCACCTTCCAGATGGCAAACGATTGGATCATCTGGGACAGTTGACCGAGGCGGGCATTTCTCCTCCAAGTGGGGTCATGTGGACCCAAAGTGGGCAGTGGCCAATCAGATCAAGTGGACCACCGCAATGCAGAGGAGCAAAGTCGTTTCTGTACTGTTTTCGTCAGAGTGCTTCCAGGGTGCTTCCGTTGAAGATTATATAAATGGAGCTGTAAGCATAGGTCTAGAAATCAGTCAAAATGGGTTCAATTTTATATGATTCAAGTTCATTGCATCAGGTGAAGAAGCTTATTAGCAGCCATGCTATGGAAGCATTCAGACACAAGTGAATTTGAGAACGCACTTGTGATCGTAAGTGTCGAAACCTTGGTGAGTTAGAACAAAGTTAGTGTCTTTTGTTGTAGATTTATGACTATAAGTGCATTTGGATGAAAGAAAAAAACTCAGAATTTTGACAAAAGTCATAATTTCTATATTTTTTTTTTTTGGTTTGAACCACGAGGTGGTCCTGGATGGGCCCCAACTATGGGTGGCACCTTTAAGCCTTAACCACAACCCAGACTAATCCCCGCTCACACCGGGTCGGCCCGTAAGGGGTAAAGTGCTGGCCAAAGTGGTGACTCCATACGAGAGCAAGGATCGAACCCCTGACCTTCTCTTAAGGAATGAGAGTGCCGAACCACTCACACCAACCACCTTGGTTATAATTTCTATATTTGATATAAACCAATTCCCATGTTTGGATCTAAAGAACAAAGAAATTTAGAAATTTCATGTGGGAAAAAAACATGGAATTTGAAGGTCATAAATTCTAACTTTAAATTCTATCTAAATAGTCATCACTTCTAAAATTCTAAAATAATAAACGTTACATTCCGTGTTTAAATCCATTAGTCAATCAAGAAACTTCATAAATTCTAAAACATTAGTTTATATTATTTTAAGTTCCATCATTTATAAATTCCTTAGAGCATATACAATTATGCTCTGTGTTTTTTAGTTAAAATTTAGCTAAAAATATATATAAGCTATTTTAGGAGCTCTCCATAAATCTTTAACTCCAATTATATTCTCTAGTTTAGGGAGTCATAAATGCTATAACTTTTTTTTATTTTTTTTATTTTTTATTTTTTATCAAATAGAAACTTCATTAGATAAACTTCAACAGTACAATAAAAAATATCAATAAGATATCTAAAATACCAATCCCAAGATAGCAACAAACTAATATGCTAAAAACACAACTAACGTGTACAAAAACCGCACTAAAACTACTAGCTCACATACCACAATTAACCATCAATAAGCATTAAATTATAAGGAGTCATTAGGAGTCTTTTCTCTTTCCTCAAAGCTCCTAGAAATCTCCATATTTTAGGAGGTGGATATGGAGCATAGTTTAAGTTGTATTTTTTCAATTCCACCCTAAAATTTGTCTAAGGATGTGGTTTAGGGGGTCCATTGTAGATGCTTTTAATACTTTTAAATTTCCCCATCTAAACACACGCATTTGGAATTATAGTACTGTTATTGTTTTTTGCCAATGCATGCACATGCGACCGTAAACGTCGACTACTTAGTGAATTAGCACAACATCCAAGCATAAATAAACATTACTATAACAATCTCAACTGTTAAGTGGTTGAACTTTTGATGGGTACATTTTTCTTTGAATGTGTAATTCAGATTAGCATCTCACTTCTTAAAATGATAAATTATTTGACAATAAATCACTATCATTGATTGTAATCATGTGATATGCAATGTGGTAAGGCACTACTCATTGATTCTAATCTTGAATAGAAATTTGAAAACGACAGTCTTATTTTAGGACATTAATTTTTTTTGTTATACAATAATGATAGTAATGGGATTGTCAAATGAAGGTGGATTTATAGTTTACATCAATAATAGGAGGGGCAGGAAGCACGTCAACTGATGAGATGAGGAGAAATGGCATTATGGCACGCTAATTTTAAGCCAATAATGCAGCGATCCATCATACTGTGCACGTTAGATTTGAAATAGAAAAATATGACAACAGTTTTAAGTTGGTATTTCGAACTTGAGACATCCTTAATAAAATTGAGACAAATGTCATCAAAGGCCAAATGACACCGCATCGTAGCTACTTATTTGGCCATAAGAAAACTATGTTAGCCATTTCGTACGTTAGTTTACTCGTGATTTCATAAATTTTTCTAGGATTATGTACTAACCATTAATATCAAGATCTGACAATATAGTAACTGTATAAAACAATAAAATCATCTATGCATAGTCATAGATTAACTAAAATCGTACAAGTTTCTGAGCTCGATTTAGTGGTTTGAGCATATGTTTTGTATCTGGAAGGTCAATATAAGATTTATATTTTGGGGAAATGTGATACTACAAGAAAACTTTTTCAGATGTTGATACTACTTTTCTTCATGGCATTGGCTTCAAATCCTTTATGCATTTTGGGGGGTTTTCTATTCAATGATTCCACGTATGCCCATTACAAAGGCACAAACACAAATATATATAACCTCACTAGGTCTGGCCCAATAATAATAAATATGGAACCGAACAAAACAAATTGACCCAGTACATAAAAAAAAGGCTAGGACCACCAACTAGTAAAATGCCTCCATGACAACCACCAAAACAGAGGTCTAGTAAGAGACTTCGAGCGACCAACATGCAAGGATGGAGATGAACTCTCAACGTACTCATTTGGTCAAACGATGGATTCAATAATTCGTAACTCCCAAAACCTTGCAGCTCAACCATGATGTGATGGGAGACGAGCAAAGCAGGTTCCGGTGGAGAACTAAGCAGCTAGGGGAGTGTAGGGATTGTGAGAAATGACGAATAGGTGGAGAGATATAGGAGGAGACGAGGGGGAGGGGAGGTGAGAAAGAAAGACAAAACGTTAAACCACCATCAGTGGCATACCTATTAAGGCGCAATGAGGTGCAACTAAATCTCCCATCGCCTAAAAATCCATAAGAGATGCTACATATTGCACCTCTACTCAGCTTTGGAGTTGCAGTGTAGGTGTTCAACGAAATGCCTAAATGAAGTTTTTGTTTTTTGGCCACAACAACTTGTTCATTTGCGCTGCCTTTTTTATTTTTTTAATTATGGCCAAAACAACGTTGTTTTGGACCATGCTTTCAAATAAATAATAAATAAAAAAACATGAAACTTGTTGCCATTTCGTGGGCTTTTAATAGGGCCTCCATAATTCCTTATTTAAATGGGATTGTGAGTTCTTTTTATTTAATTGGGCTTTAATATGGATGCAAATATAATGAGACGTTTTCATGATATGAAATCTCTTCAGCAACAATTGTAGGTTAATTGTAATGTTATTTTTTTTCAATTAATTATGAATAACATTAGTATTGTTTAAATTATGAGGATATTTAGTTGTCTATCTTTTTTCTTTTTCTTTTTTGAGCTTTTAGTCTTTAAAAATTGCACATCTGCTGAAAAATTCCTAAGTCCGCCAATGACCACCATGAGAGATGGAGGAGCCATCACAATCTTTGCCTATGTAAAGGAACTCACCCTCATTGTAAACAGGACATGTGTACTTTCACTTTCTCTTGAAGGCTCTCATGCCTTTTGTAAGAGCATTTCCACCGGTGCTCATTTGCCAGGGACAAAAGGAAGTCCAGGCTTGGAACAAGTCCCCCAGCAATGAAAGACAGTCTGGACAAAAATGGGCCCCATTTACTCAGGCTAGCCCAAAGGCAAGAATTGCCTGAGCTGCTGCCTAAGTTTGCTGATCTCATGTTGATGTCAGCGTGACGTCAACAACCAATTTAAATACACACAAAAAAAAGATCAAAATATTCAAAATATTTTTTTTTCTATAAATACCTAGCCATGTTCTTCACTTCCCGCACCAAAACTCCATTCAAATTATTCTCCTCATATCTCAGGTGAATAGTGCTTGCCTTTACTTGCCATGGCAATGGGTGGAAAAGCAAAATAAAAAAGGGTAGGGGAGTGTAGCTCAACTATGATGTGATAGGGGACGAGCAAAGCAGTTTTGGTGGAGAACTAAGCAATTAGGGGAGTGTAGGAATGGTGAGAAATAAGGAATAGGTGGAGAGATCCAGGAGGAGATGAGAAGAGAGAGAGAGAAGGCGGGAGGGGGTTAGAAGAAAGAAAGATAAAAAGTTGAACCACCATGAGAGATGGAGAAGCCATCACAATCTTTGCCTATTTAAAGGAACTCATCCTCATTGTAAAAGGGACATGATGATGTATTTTCACTTTCTCTCAAAGACTTTCATGCCTCTTGTAAGAGCACTTTCATCGGTGCTCATTTTTCAGGCAAAAAGGAGCCTAGGCTTGGAACAAGGCCACCAACAATGAAAGTCAGTCCAGACAAAAATGGGGCCCACTTACCCAGGCTATCCCAAAGGCAAGAATTGCTCGAGCTACTGTCTAGGTTTTCTGAAGTCAATGTGACATCATAGACCAATTTAAATACAAAAACAAACAAAAAACAAAAAAAATTTTAAAAAAATTCTATAAATTCCTAGCCATATTCTTCACTTCCCACACCAAAACTCTATACAAATTCCTCTCATCATCATATCTCGTGTAAATAGTGTTTGCCTTTACTTGCCAAGGCAATAGGTGGAAAAGTATAATAAAAAAGGATAGGGGAGTCACTATTCATGTGAAGTGCTCTAACTTGTAAGCCAATTATCATAGTGAAAAATCCAATACAACTCAATGTGTACATAACCCAACTTCGTGAACCACGATACATCGTGTGTGTTCTTGGTGTGATAGTACGGTCATATCTTGTTAACCCCAATTTTGGAAATCAATTAAATGATGTATTTATTTTTTATCTAGTTCGTATTAGATTAGCACTTTTGATTTGGGACTTGACCTAAAATGCATTTAGGTTGCGATTTGCGAATTA